CAAACATGATATCCCTGTCCAGTGACTGGTCCCTTCTAACAATATGTCCAAAGTATGAAAGGCGAAGTTTGGCCATCTTGGCCTTCAAGGAGCACTCGGGCTGCACTTCTTCCAACACAGATCTGTTTGTTCTTTTGGCAGCCCATGGTACTTTCAACATTCTCCTCCAACACCATAACTCAAAAGCATCAATTCTTCTGCATATGAGGCTATTGAAAATACCATGGCTTGGGTCAGGCACACCTTAGTCCTCAAGCTGACATCTTTGCTCATCAACATTTTTTAAAAAGGTCTTGTAGGACCTCATTAGTATAACAAATGAAAACCCTATTTTCAAAGAGGGTCACATCTCCAGCTAGTGACCAAAACTTCAATTCATATTTGGAAGAGAGGAACCACAACTCAGTCCATCAGATATGGAGTACCTGGATGAGCCCTTTATCACTCCAGCTTCTCTTTCTTAGGATAAATAGATTTCATATATCTTTTTTTTTTTTTTTTGCTTAATACTCATACAGACCATGGCATAGAAAGGTACCAAAAAGAATAGAAGGAAAAGTAAGACATCTTCCCTTTTCTTTTTGCACACAGTTCCTGTCTTTGGAGTATATTAGTCTCACAGTTCTTTGCCTAGCTCTCTTCACTTAATAACAAGCCTTAGCTATCTTTCCATATCAGTGCCTGTCGTATAGTGTTTTGTTTTATGAATGTACCATAATTTTACATTAACCAGTCTCTCATGTTCTTGATTTTTTATAAGTAGTGGTACAATGACTATCTTTGTGAATATGGGATCTTTGCTCTTATGCAAGGAGAACTGTAGGATGTATTATTAATTTTTCTAGTACAGTGCACCTCTTTTTTTCATATAACCTTGCCCCTTTATGGACAAAGAGAGAGTAGAATCATCCCAGCTTCCTTTGCCTGTTCTTATTATAAAACCATATCTGGTCACATCTGTGTATGCTCTCCTTATCAATCTGCAGACAGTGGAAAGAAACATCTCAAGTCCTGTATGCCATCTCTCTCCCCACAGTCTCTAATGAACTTGTCTAATCTGGAAGTCAATTGAACTAAAATGAAAAGCATGAAAGTGAGCAGGAGACAAGGAGAGGGATGTGTTTGCTTTACCAGGAATGGCAACCTGTGCAAATACTTGAACTATTTTTTCCTGCCTGTTATGTGCACACTGATTTAAAAAATCATGGTTCCCAGAACCATGAAAAAGAAGAGGGGGCTTGCAATCAAACAAAAAATTTGACATGATCACTTGAGTCTTGAATGTGAGCTTTAAAAAGATCTAGTTAGCAAAAGAAGATGGCAAATCTACTTTTGAATGTAGAGAGGCCCCTTGCTTGCTTGCCTGGTTTGATCATTGAATCAAATCAGATTTTTAAAAATACTGGGTAAGAAATGATTGTCCCAGTTTTGTGAGTACCACTGACAGTTTGGGGGTTCCTCTGGTATGCCCTCTGGATCTTCCAAGCTACCAACAGTGAGTCCCTCAACCCAAGAAGGAATTATGTGGCCTGAGCAGTATCTTGTGACCATCAGAATAGAGCCAGAGAGCCACACTCACACTTCTGTAAACTCAGCAATCCATCATCTCACTGTCTTATGAAGGGACTATTTACTCTCCCACTTCCAGGTGGACATTAATATTCCTATAGGGTGGTAACAGCCAAGTTGGAGGTTCACAGTCAGGCAAACACACACCAAGCTAACGTTCAAGATATCCTTTGATAGCTGCAAGCTTTTTTATTACTATTATAAATTCCTTTTACCCAAGCCATGGTATTTTCAAGGAGCTCTGGTAGCATAGTGGTTACAAGTTGGGCTGCTAACCTCAAGGCCAGCAGTTTGAAACTACCAGCTATTCTGCGGGAGAAAGATGAGGCTTTCTGCTCCCAAGATTTAAGCCTTGGAAACCCTTTGCAGGGTTCCTATGAGTCAGAACTGACTCCACACAGCACATAACCAACCAACTAACCAGCCAACATGGTATTTTCATTTACTTCATGTACATGTGAAAGTTAGACAACAGATAAAGAAGACCATAGAAAAATAATGCATTTGAATTAAAAGCACCATGTTGTTGTTATTAAGTGTCATCAAGTTGGTTCTGACTCATAGTAACCCAGTATAGGGTTTCCAAGGAGCAACTAGTGAGTTGGAACTGCCAACCTTGTGGTTCAAACTGACCTTGCAGTCCTGTGCTTATACTGCAGTGCCACACCAGAAGTCCAAAAGTACCATGAACAGCCAGGAAAACAAATCAAAAACAAACAACTAGGTGTTGGAAAAAGAATAGCCAAAATACTTCTTAGAAGCCAAGAATGTGAGACTTTGTCTCTCATACTTTTGTTGTTGGTGTGAAGTGCCGTCAAGTCAATTCCGACCCATAGCAACCCTGTATAGGGTTTCCTAGGAGCAGCTGGTGAGCTTGAACCGCCAAACTTGCAGTTCAAACAGCTTTGCAGTCTGGCACATTAACCCATAGTGCCATACCAGGACTCCTGTCTCTCATACTAAGTACTTGTTATTAGGATGGACCAGTCCCTGGAACATGATACATGCTTGGCAAATTAGAGGGTCATGAAAACAGAAGAAGACCTCCAGTGAGATGGATTGACACAGTGACAGCAGCAATGGACTCAAACGTAGCAACAATCGTGAGGATGGTGCAGGACGGGGCAGTGTTGCGTTCTGTTGTTGTGTATAGGGTCGCAATGAGTCAAAACCAACTTGATGGCACCTAACAACAACATAATTCCTTTTAAATGGTATCCTTTTTACCAAGATATAATTTATATACTAAAAAGTACCATTTTAGGTGTACCTCCAAAAAGCTGTGATGAATGTGTGACTTGGATAACCTACATCTCAACCAAAATACAGACCATTTCCTTCACTCCTGAAACATTTCCCTCATGCTTCTTTGCAGTCAATGTCTTTCCCCAGTCCCAGGCCACTAATGATATGCTGTCACTCATTATAGTTACTTTGACCTCTTCTAGAATTTCGTATTAGCACTCATCTGTCAATCTGCCATACTGTGGTGGCTTATGCATTGCCTTGATGCTGGAAGCTATGCCACCAGTATTTTAAACACCAGCAAGGTCACCCATAGAGGAAACGTTTCAGTGGAGCTTCCAGACTAAGGCAGAGTAGGAAGAAGGAGAAGCTGATCACTTCTGAATGGTTAGCCACTAAAAACCTTACGAATAACAAGTGGAACACTGTTAGATATATAGTGTAGAAAATGAGCCCCTCAGGTTGGAAGGCACTCAACATATGACTGGGAAGAGCTGCCTCTTGAAAGAAGAGTTGGCCTTAATGACGCGGATGGAGTTAAGCTTTCAGGACCTTCATTTGTTGGTGTGACACAACTCAAAATGAGAAGAGGTACAAACACCCATTAATAATCAGAACATGGAGTGTACAAAGTATGAATCTAGGAATACTGGAAATTGTAAAAAATAAAATGGAAGGCATTAATGAGCTGAAATGAACTATTACTGGCCATTTTCAATCAGACAACCATATGGTTTACTATGCTGGGAACAACACACTGAAGAAGAATAGCATCATGTTTATCATTTAAAAAAAGAACATTTCAACATCAATCTTGAAGTACAGTGCTGTCTGTGATGGGGATAATGTCCATATGCCTACAAGGAAGACCAGTTAATACTACTAATATTCAAATTTATGTACCAACCACTAAAGCCAGCGATGATGAAATTGAATAATTCTACTTCTATCTGAACTTGATCAAACATGCAGTCAAGATGAATTGATAATCAATGGTGGTTGGAATGGGAAAGTTGGAAACAAAGAGGGAAATATGGCCTTGGTGACAGAAATAATGCTGTAAATTGTATAATACAATTTTACAAGACCAATGACTTATTTATTTCAAATACCTTTTTAAAAATAACATAAAAAGTGACTATACACATGGGTCTCACCAGATGGAATACACAGGAATCAAATAGACTGCATCTGTGGGAAATGATAGTGGAGAAATTCAATATCACCAACCAAAATGAGGGCAGGAACAGACAGACTGTGGAACACACTAGCAACTACTCATATCTAAGTTCAGGCTGAAGTTGAAGAAAAGTAAACAAATCCACAAGTGCCTGTTATATGCCAGCAACACAAGTTTGCTTGTTGAAAGTGAAGAGGACTTGAAATACTGATAAAAATCAAAGACATACATAAGACAACATTGATGCTAAGTGATTCTATTTATATGAAATTCTTGTGGTTGTTATTGTAAAGTACAATTGAGTCAGTTCAGACTCATAGTGACCCTATGCACAACAGAACAAAACACTGCCTGGTTCTGCATCACCCACACACTTGTTTTTACACTTGAGCCCATTGCTGCTGCCACTGTGTCAACCTTTGGGGGTCTTCCCTCTACTTTACCAAGCATGATATCCTTCTCTAGGGACTAGTCTCTCCATACTCGCTTCTGAGGAGTATTCTAGCTGTGCTTCTTCCAAAATAAATTTGTTTGTTTTTCTGGCAGTGCATGGTATTTTTAACATTCTTCTCCAACACCATCATTCAAATCCATTGATTGTCCTATGATATTCCCTATTGATTATCCAACTTTCACATGCATATGAGGTTATTGAAATACCACGGCTCAGGTCAGGTGCACCTTAGTCCTCAAGCTGACATCTTTGCTCTTGAACACTTTAAAGAGGTTTTTTGTAGCAGATTTGTCTAAAGCAATACATGTGATTTCTTGACTGCCACTTGGTGTGGATCCAGGTAATGTGAACTCTTTGACAACTTCAATCTTTTCCCTATTTATCATGATGCTACTTATTGATCTAGTTGTGAGGATTTTCGTTTTCTCTACATTGAGGTGCACTCTATACCAAAGGCTTTGATCTTATCAGTATTTCAATCCCATTAGGATGGCAGTGTTGCTAACCTGAGTCAGCTCATGTATACATCTGTGTGTTTATGCTTGCTTACAGATTCGTTCTGAGACCATTGCCACGTATGCTCTCTGTGGCTTTGCCAATTTTGGCTCCCTAGGAATAGTGATCGGCGGACTAAGTAAGTGAAAAGAGTTCAACAGATATGCTATAAACATATGTTATCCCTCTACTTGCTCTGTAACTTCATGTCAAGAGGAAAAATTGGTCTTGTAACAATAGTCAATCCTTTGAGGTATATTTTTATTTCTTTTGGGCACCCAAAATGATCTCAGCTTGAATTTGAGGGAAGAATTTCTCAAATTAATTTCAGGAAGAATTTGCTCAAATGTACAGCTGCTTCTACCAACCTAGAGATGACACACAAGTCTCACTTTGCATGCAAATACCAATAGATTTATAATGACCACAAGGCAATGGGTTCTGAAGTCCAGTGGGAAAAAAAATGCTATGCTATGGTCATAGGTGGAGATGGTGGAGATGGTGATAGATCAGGTGCAGATATTGGAGGTCCCTTCTTGAAGCCTATCTGCCTTGCCATGCTCTCAATAGACTGTGAGCCCTTTGAATGAAACTTAAAGTCTTGACCATGTCAATTCATTCTTTGTTGGTGTTCCTGGGCATTCTTTGGTTTCTTGGTTTGTAGAAAACCTCCACACATGGTGTTTGTGTTCCCCCTGTGTGTCCCTGTGTCTTCTGGTCTTTTTATCACTCAGAAGTGAATTGTGTAGGTAGGATCCAGGCTATATTAGCATTACCTCATGAACATAAAGGAAAACTCCAATCTCCAAGCAGAATCACACCCACAAAAGATAGGAATTCAACAATTCAATCCATAACACTGCTTATTCCAAAATCCTGTGTAGTTTTGTTTGTCTGTGTGTGTGTGTTTGTGTTTTAATATAGATTTTCAGGTTCCTTTCAGGTTCACTGAATCAGACGTTTCAGAAGCAGGTCCAGGAATCTGTATTTTAAGGCTTCTGATTGTACTCATGGACACGATTCACCAAATATTTCCTGTTCTGACAAGCTTATAGGAATCTGATACGGTTATACTTTTTTAGTCCCCTTGCAGTTGGGTGCAGTGGCAGCCTATGTAGTTTCTTAGCCAGAGCATTATTTGCTCAGAATTGTCTCCTTCTGCCTGGGTCACAGGATCAGTCATTTTGGAATTCCCCAAGTGACTGCAATGAGCACCCTTACCTACTTGCAATGAAGATGAAAAACAAAGTAAAAAAATAAATAAATAAACTTTTATAGCTATAGACCATTGAGATGTGGAGAGTGTTTGCTATCACAGCATTACCTAGCTTATCCGGACAAATAACAATCCTCTGGAGATTCTTACACTGTGCAGTCTGACCCTGGGCGGGCCTTCAAGAACCTATTGGTAGATGATAGCTTCAGTACCTTCCAAATCTAAACAATTTTTGTTTTATGCAAATATTGCTGTTATTGTTATTAGGTGTCATTGAATCAGTACCAACTCATATTGACCCTATGCACAACAGAACAAAACACTGCCCGATCCTGGGCCAACCTCACAATTGTTGCCACTCTTGAGCCCATTGATGCTGCCATATTGCCAATCCATCTCACTGGGGGTCTTCTTCTTTTTCTCTGACCCTCCACCTTACCAAATATGATATCCTTCTCCAGCAACTGGTCCCTCCTGACAATATGTCTGAAATATGAGAGATGAAGTTTGGCCATTCTGGTCTCCAAGGAGCACTCTGGCTGCACTTCTTCCCACACAGATTTGTTTGTTCTTTTGGCAGCCCATGGCACTTTCAACATTCTCCTCCAACACCATAACTCAAAAGCATCAATTCTTCTACAGTCTTCCTTATTCACTGTCCAGCTTTCACATGCATATGAGGTTATTGAAAATACCATGGCTTGAGTCAGGCACACTTTAGTCCTCAAGCTGACATCTTTGCTCTTCAATACTTAAAAAAGGTCTTGTGCAGCAGATTTGCCTAATGCAATATATAGTAAGCAGGCTATCAGCTATTAAACTCTAATAAGATACAAACTGGCTATCAGATTGATTAGAAACTTCTGAGGTTTTCTGAAGAGTCGTTCCTATCCAGTGAGCAGTCAGGAGAGATTAAACTGGTAGGGAGGGGTAGATGTGAGGAGAAGAGTGCAGAAGAGCTCTGAGAGAGAGAGCATCTATAGGTAGAAGCAAATTCCCAAGACTTACCTCCCCACTGAGCTGAGGGCCAACTCTGTAGCTGGAATCCCCACCATTACCCCTGCAACGTTGCCTGGTGCTAGAAATTTTACATCTTGTTGGATTGGATCAATTCGACTCACAGTGACCCCATGTTACAGAGTAGAAAAAAACCCATAGAGTTTTCTAGACTAATCCTTACTGGCGTAGATTGTCAAGTCTTTCTCCAGAATGACTGAACTCTTGAACTTAGAATTTCTCAGCTAACCTGAGATCCCAGATGCAGGTAATTCTAATAGCCTAATTGTCTCTCACACTTGCTCCTATCTTTCCCAGCATCCATGGCTCCTTCCAGAAAACGTGACATCGCATCAGGTGCCGTAAGAGCTCTGATTGCAGGGACCATTGCCTGCTTCATGACGGCCTGCATTGCAGGTACTGTATCCCATCCTTTGTGTCTTGTCTCCACATCCCTAGAGTATGGCAGCTTTCAAGGAGGCAATGCATCCATTGCACATATGCAGCATATGCTACCACAGAAAGCTGAGCATTAGAGCTGTTATTAAGCATATGGCAAAGCTAAATGTGTGGCTCATGGTGGAGATGCTAAGAAGAGAAAGACTTCAGTGACTTCGTGACCTAATAAAATAAATGACATTCTGTTCCAATTCTAGGCATACTCTCTAGCACTCCTGTGGACATCAACTGCTATCATGTTTTAGAGAATGCCTTCAATTTCAGCTTACCTACAAACCCAACCGAAACAACCTCTTGTTGTCAAAATCTATTCAACAGGTATTGTATTCTTCAGCACAACTTCTTTATACTCCGTTATTAAGGATCCAATCAGATCTAGGGACCACATCCACATATTTTTATAACCTTTAGATAAAATTAGAACATGTGTGGTATTTCTGGCCACCTTTCATTTTGACGCTCTTCAGTAAGACTAAGGACCATCATACCAATATGCCATTGTTTCTCAAGCATTGAATATGACTGTGGACTAGGTGGTGGTGGTGGTGGTGGTTACATGCCATGGAGTCTGAACCGACTCATAGCGACCCTGTACAGGGTTTCCGAGGCTGTAAATCTTTACAGGAGTAGAAAGTCTCATCTTTCTCCCATGGAACAGCTGGTAGTTTCAAACTGCTGACCTTATGGTTCGCAGCCCGATTCGTAACCACTATGCTACCAGAGCTCCTTGTGGGCTAGGTACAGTGTATGAATTATTGTACTTAATTAAACTTTGCAATCATTCACTAGGCACCACTACATTTTGATATTAAATAAAACCAAGACCAAGAGAAGCTATGCCATTTATCTGCAATCACAAAATTAGTGCAAGCAGGATCAAGGTACAAAATTGAGGTCCTTCTGCCCACAAAGCCTATGCTCTTTACTACCCTCTAGTGCCTCCATTTCATTGAAATCAAGGAATGCAGGCTGTCCTGACAACACGGGGATGGGCTGGAATGAATGTGAGGCTGCTAGCAACCCATATTGGGCACGCTAGCCCTATACTGTTTCTATTTACAAAATCAGTATTTCCTACTCCATCTACTCTTCTTAATATGAGAGTATGGTTCTAGTAAGATTCAATGCTTCTTTGGGTTATTCTGGAGGAAATAGATGGAGTCTTTCAAGTTATAGTTTAATACCCAAAATTAATTCTCTTATGTCTCTGTTCCTTAACCTATCTTAACTAGAATATAAGGGATAAAATTAGTTTTTTGCTTTGAATTATTTTTAGTGTGTCATGTTTTATCTACTGTTTCCCTGATCTCAACTAACTGCTTCATTCTACTTTTCACCAGAACTATCATCAATGGTCCTGGTAAGAACATCCCAGAAGGAAACCATAGCCTGCTTTTTTTGAAGGGCTGCTGCAGATTGTTGAATCCAGCAACAGTTAATTGCAGTTCGATCCATAATTCATTTTGAGTCCAAACTCTTCTCAATGAAACATCTGAGTATAGATGCTGAGTTTTCTTGCCGTGAGGAGAGAAATTTTCTCTGTAGATTGATCACTGCATCATGGAATCAGCTTGAAATGGAAGGAAAGAAGAAAATCAGGAGTAGATCTTTCAGATCTATAGAATCACTTCTACTCCTCTCTCCTTTCCACCTCCACTCTACTGAAATTGCACCAGTCATGTTTTTGGACTTTGGAATTTCAGATCACTTCTCCCAAATATAGAGATAAATGGAGTCTCCCAACTCAGCCAATGGGCTGTAATGGTTGACTGAGTTTCGCTCTTAGTTGCTATTGTTATTGTTAGATATCATCCAGTTGATTCCAACTCATAGGGAACCTAAGTACTACAGCATGAAACACTAGCCAGTCTTGCACCATCCCTGTAATCTTTAACACTGTTGCAGTCACTATGTCCACCCAGCTCACTGAGAGGCTTCTGTTTTTCATCAACCCTCTACTTCATCAAGCATGATGTCCTGGTCCAAGGACTGGTCCATCCTGACAGTACAACCACAGCATATGAGGCAATGTCTCACCATTCGCATTTCTAAGGAGTATTCTGTCTGCATCTCTCCAAAGAGTCTTTATCTCTGAAGTAAAATATATTTCTAAATATATATTTATTTTTTTCTTGAAACTCAGTATTTCCTAACATTTAAAAAAAAAAATCTAAAGAACTCAAAGTCTTTAAACTTTATCTTAGGAAAACATATTTTAATGCCTTCCCCCGCCCCCCTCCCCCCACCCCTTTGTTTGCTAGGTTGTGGTGTCAATTGTGCATACGTTGGTTCTGCTTTGTCTGCTATTGCTATATATTGTTTTTTTAAAACTCTTGCTTTTTTCATTCAGTTTTGCCTAATCCTCTGGAGCTGATCTTCTATGTCCCTGATTGTTTACAAGAGACTCTCTTTACTGCCTCTAGTGTGCTTTTCTTGCCAATTAATTATAAAATTTTGTTTGTGACCACTATTCCTTGAATGTTTGTGTATCTTTTAGGAGTGCTTTTTCTTTGTTTCAATGAAAACTTAATAATCATTGCCTTGTCTTTTTTTAAATTAACTTTTCTTCTTTTGATGTTTATCAACTTATGCAAAGTCACAGCTGTTTGCTATAAGAACTGAATGTGGTGCGTAGATGTTAAACTCTAAACACCTTTATCTCTACCTTGTACATGCCAGCTCTTCCTAGCTCCACACTCCTGAAATTATCAATGATAATTAACTAGAGTTCACAGCTTCTCCTTGATTATCATACAAACATATATAAGAATGTGAGAAATTTATTATTTGTATTCAAACATAATGAGACTATTTATATATTACCTTCATCTTGCTTGTTTTCACTCAGCAATGTATCTTTTTTATAATATATGAAATTTTGTTTTCTTTATTATACCATCTTTCTAAATCAATGTATTTATTTGAAAATTTATATTTAAATATACTCCTGTCAAACATGCATGTCTCAGAAATATTGTACCACAAAGACTGATTTCTACCCTTCTGCCAGTTTATGGTATTCTATATGGGCAATTTCATTTCATCTGTCAGAACTCATAATGGAAAAAAATTTTCAGTTGTGGATAGGTGCATGGGGATCAAGGGAACAGACTGAACCAGCACATAAGTTTCTATTGTTCCTAAGGCTCCAATCACAGTATAGAAAAGTTGAGTTCTACATCTAGCCAGTAAGACCAGCAAGCAATAACCCCGAATGGTATCATTATAAGGTTAAAATGTCAGTGCATTGCAGGGGGATGGGCAGGGGGTTGCATAAAATCATCTAAATCCTCAAAAACTTCAAAAGCATTTCAAGAAAAATAGTCAAAGTAAAAGCCATGGAATTTATTTCAGTGAAATTATTTAAAATTAGATATAGTAAGTACCCATTTCCCCCAATCTGGTAGAAAACTTCCTCAGTTAGGAATTATTGACTTTAGAAGCCAAATTTTTACATACCAGTAAAATCTGTTATAACTAAAACTGTTACTATAACTATACATTGCTGGCCAAAACCTTATACACCTGTCAATCGTTGAGACAAAGTAAAAATATGATTGCATAAAATCACACAAAAAAACAGAAATTGCTGAAAAGATACTTTTTTTTTAAGTGAAAAATCATTTGCATTAATGCCCCTTAAATCTTCAATGTTAGTACAAATTTTCAGACTGTACTAAATTTGTGAAAATCCTGATGCAACTTTGACTTATACAACTAAAAGTTTTCATTTTAGATATTCCAGATTAAAATATAATTATAGTCTGCATTTATTGTAGTATTTGTACAAGTGCAATATTGAAATATGTTCAAAATAAAGCAAGGTAAAAGAATCACAATAATTTGTAGACAAAGCAAAGTTCACATAATTAACAATTTTTAGACAGTCATCTTTATTCTTTCCCCGCCCAATACCTTACGCAGACATTATGACCAACAATACCTTAGTTCTATTTCCAAATCTATAACTTTAAAATACAATCTTCAGTTCTTAATTGTAGTTGTTAAGTTCCATCAAGTCAGTTTGGACTCATAGCAACCCAGTATAGGGTTTCCAAGTAGCAACTATTGAATTTGAACCACCAACCTTGCTGTTCAATCAGACCTTGAGATCCAGAGCTTATTCTACAGTGCCACACCAGGACTCAGTTCTTAACATCAGGAACATAATGCCTAAATGAAATTAACATCCCCCAAACAGAGGACCACATACAAACTATAGTAAATACAATTTGGAACTCATATTCAAATGAAATTTGAGTTATTTATAAAGCTTCCATATTCTTATAGAACAAGTCTTGGTTTAAAAAAGAAATAATAAGCAACATTTTTCTTTTGACTTCAGTGCATATTTCTAGAGGTGGTAGAGCCAAATCTACAACTATATAGATTTACGACATAGGTCATCATGACATCTACATACATTAATATCTTGTTACATTGGTGCTCACTGTATTTGCCAAAATCAACTCTGAGGTACAAATATTCTTAAATGAGACAAAAAGATAGATCTGTGATAATGGAATATTGTTTAAAATAAAATCTGGTGCTTTAACAGTATAGCGCCTACTTATGCAATCTGTTTTGTCTGTTGTTGTTGTTGTTAAGTGCTGTCAACTCATAGTGACCCTGCACAGTGTTTCTGAGGCTGTACATCTTTACTGGAGCAGAAAGCCTCATCTTTCTCCCACGGAGCCACTGGTAGTTTCAAACTGCTAACCTTGAGGTTGGCAGCCCAACTCGTAACCACTACACTACCAGAGCTCCTTCTCAGGAGCCAATAAATCTTCATTTAAACCTATTATGTAAAGGTATTACTAAGAGTGAGAAAGAGAAGACATAAACAGATAAAGTTTAGCCAATCCCAAATACTAATAAGAAAGAAAATAAATATATGTGAGAAAACAAGACAGAAAATGTGGCATTTAGAAGAATTGAAGCATATTTTATCCAAAATAATAACAGTGACATGTTACTAAAGAGATATGTTGTTGTTGAGTGCTGTCGAGTCAGTTCTGACCTATAGCGACCCTGTATTGTGTTTCTGATGAGGTGGCTGGTGAGCTTGAATCACCTACCTAGGGGGTTCAGACTTTGCAGTTCAGCACCTTAACCCACAGTACCACACCAATACTTCAAATGTAATTTGTAAACCTTAATTGGATCCTGGTTCAAAAACTCTATAAAGAGAGGAGGCTGGGCTTGATGGTGGCTAGGGTGGAGGTGCAGTGAAGTTCTCCGCAACAATACTACAGAATACCAGGCAAAGCAGATTCAGGGCAGAGCTCCAAAATTTGGAACCACATAGATAGGAATATTTAAAAGGTTTGAAGGCTTATAGTTAGTGGAACTTGTAGCAAAAGTAAGAAATTGCATACTTTTGAATCTGTGGGGCTCGGCAGCCCGGAGCCAACAACTTGAGTGAGACCAAATGAAAGCCCAAGCGGAGGAGCAGACACACCACAGAAAGACACCAGGGAACCTTGGAGCAAAGGTGGACACCACACTTTGTCAGTTTTGCTTTGTTCTGATTTTCTTTTTTGGTATCTGTTCATTGGCCCCCCACTGTTTGTGAACCTCCATTCTGGTGACTAGAGAGGGTGCCTGACTAAGTGAACACCCTCCACCCTCACCACTGGTGGGTTCTTCTGCCACACATGCGCACAGACACTCTCAGCCCAAGAGCCGACCCTGAACTGTTTTTTATTTGTTTTTGTTTTTTAATACAGAAAAGCCAGAACAAGGGGCAAGGAGAGGGAAAGAGAGTTTAAAAACAAAACAGGACAAAAATTAAATTAAATCCTGAGGTATAGCATAACAACCAACAGTGACATCTTGAAATCTCTCAAGCAGCTTTGAACACAAGACGCTGAAAGAGGACATTAACGTCATACTCATATTAGACTACAGACTTTTTTTTTTCTTCTCTCCCTCTTCTCCCTTTTCTGTGATTATAGACTACAGTATCCAGTCTGGTTTTCTGTTGTTGTTGTTGTCGTTGTTTTGGTAGGGTTTTTTTCTGGTGGTTGTTTTTTTGTTTGTTTGTTTTGCTGTTGCTGTTTTGCTGCTTTATGCTCCCCATTCTACCTTTGGGGGACTCTTTCTCTCCCTGTATTACTCAAGAAGAGACAGCAACTGCTGCCATATAGTCAAGCTACAATCACACTCTATAAAACACCAAAATCCAGGCAAGAAACAATACCAACTGCCATATACCAGGAAGGCAGACAACACCTGTGATAGCTACTCTGAGTTAAGCCATAAGAAGAGTGAAAAGAGAAGCCCACAGCCTGATCACATCTACCTGGAAGCAATCAGAAAGCATAAAACATACCAAAACATATACTCAATTAAGTATTAAGGCCACAGATAAACACTAAACATGTCTAAGAAGCAAAAGCAGATGACCACATAAACACATGTCCAGAAACAAGATAAAATGTCTGAGACAAATGACCTAGAGGTAG